GTTTCCCAGTTTCTCGGAGAAGTTGCAAGGCTTTTACATTTAGGAGCTGCGGTAATAAACCCCTGATGGCACCAACAGCTAGCCTGCCTGTTCCTAGACATAGAACGTTTAAAGGGCCGCTTTGAGCGGCTATGACGACGACGTCCATAGTAAGCTATTGGACCTGGCGAATAAGTGTCTTGTTGTGTTTTCAGGGTTTCAATAGTTGACTGAAAACCAGTGTTATAAGTGCACTGGGACACGACGACATTGAGCTGGCTGAAGTCGGCTTGTGGCTGTGATCACTCAATAACTCGATCCGCTAAATGTGCTAGTTAAGAGAGCGAAACGGAGCTCACTGTAGTGAGAATCGCTTGCGTGTTTTCCGGTAGCCGCTGTAGCCATAGTTCACGAATTAAGGTTTAGTCCATGGATAAAGAACCAAGGAATTTCGGCAGCTCACGTAGCAGATTTGCAGGCAGTTTGTCTCCCAGCTTCAGATCCCTGAAAAGCTGCTGCAGGCGAAGTTTCTCATGTTCTTATGGTCTAAAGATTCCATGGCTTAAAAATGGCGCAAAAGGCTGGCTACCGTAAGCAAAAATAAACCGCCAAATACGGCAAACAATTCGAACGGGCGCACCGGAGTAAAGTTAAAAATATCCGGAGCTGAGATTGTTTCGGAGTCAGGGTCACCTATTTTGAGGATCGCCTGTGCCGGAAGCCCGAAAAGCAATTCAATAAGACAGGTCGGGTTGCAGGGAAACTTTCTTTGGTGCAGTAAAAGATCTCCTGTTACCAGCTATAAAAGAACGACAGCGTTATTGCTCTAGCTAGGGGAATGGAGCATGCATAACACACAGGGCAGTCGCGAGTTGCAACCGAAACGAGCGCCAACCAAAATGGCGATGAGCAAGTCAAGCATACGAACTCAGCCATCAGTACAAACAAGCACACCGGTTGCATACCCTCTCTGCACCATCAGTCAATCAAGCGTCCGATACAGGACACTCATCAGGGGTTCGTAAAATATGGCATATGAAATCGGCTTATAGCCATATCAATTGTCCAACGGCGACTGAAAACATCGATGGTCTTTTGATTAACTTCCTATAATAAACAAACTACTCACTGAAAGCTAGTAGAGATGTTCACTTCGTGAATGCAGTATTCACACCCACATTACGCATAACTGCTGGTACATGTACGCTGCACATTTCGGTTATGCGACACCTATAGGTATCGCCCATAAAAGTGCGATAAGCGTACAGGATTGCACTCCCAGTAGCGGAAACGTCGCACCACCAGCAGACTCTTCCCACGCAATGTTGTCTTTCAGCACGTAATGCCCGCTTAACGAAAGGCACAGCTGCCATACAGCGAAAAGCAGCCATGGATTCAACGGAGGCCCCACCAAGTCAAGAGTGCTCGTAGATTCCGACGTTAGTTTCAACATGTAACAGAAGGTTTGCGTGGATAGGTGACAAAAGCAGACTGTCCTGCTGGAAGGAATATGAGCAGTGAGGATCCATTGGCGTAGTTCCGTAGTCTAGTCGTGAGGCGCTCGTCTCGTGGTGCAGGTGTCCGGGGTTCGAACCTTGGCAAGGTCACGTTTGGATTAACCGGCGTCCCTGGATGGAGTTCGTGGTTGTACGGTGGGTCGTGATGGTGTCGCCATTTTCCTACATTCGCTACCTTCCAGTGCGCATCAATAAAATCTTCAGCACTTTACACACTCTTCATGCCGAAGTTGACTGAATCGCGTGCACCAGTAGTGTTAATGGCTATGTTGAGGCCAAGGTGCTATTTAATCTAATGCCATGCGTTGAGGAATACTCAAAGGCGTGTAAAAAGGGAGTGCTGCTGAAGATTTCTCCGTCAGTCTGAAACGTACCGTCTGCACATATTTTGGAATCTGAGCAGCCTGCAGTTGGAGTTTATAGGTTCGTGGGTTCATAGGATTGTAGAGAGCAGAAGGAGAAATTCTTTTCCAGCTCCATCTTTTCCCGATCATTGTTTGAATGCCGCGATTCGATGTTAAGCGGCAATCCCCGAGGAACCATGACAGCTACACTGGAAGCTGCAAGTGCTCGTCGTACTCGAAAGATAAGAATCTAGCATTCGCTTGAAACATTCCTCAGTCTGAGCATCGACCACATGCTTCGGCAAGTTTTTCCAGTCGTTGACTACGCGAGTTGATAGAGCGAGAGCAGGATGAACCCGGAGTCTTCAGGGTTTAAACAGAGTTTTGCGCTGGTAGGAACCCCAGATATGTGGAATTGTAGTAACGCGCATTCAAAGATGTTGGCAGTTAAGATAAGATGGCTAGGTTATTCCTACAGAGTAAAATCTAAGCAAAAACCGCACACTTGAAGGAGGAACCGCAAAATTTTTCTCAGCGTGCGCCCGATGAGTGACACCATCTTTTGCTATTTGGGCGCCTATCGGGCGCTCAAACGGTCACACATCGGGCGTCCATCAAACACCGGTGCTGAGTGGGTAGGTGTACAGCGAAATAATTTTAGATAAAATTTTACACTGGTAAACCGGGGAATCTCTAGAGTGCTACATGCTCCCTTGTATTTTTCCTTCCTTCCTCTACCTCTAGCGTGACCCTTACCTCTAACACTATGGGCTATCCCAAACGACAAAGCGTATAAATTGTGCACGCTGTTACCCACCAGTAACTGATAACTGTCAGTACATTGCAAGTAACATTTCGCCTTCACAGCCTTACATGCATCCCTCGCATCCGCTGCTTAATATATAGCGTTTAACCTCCTAGACCACCTTGTATGACCTGAGGACGTAGAAAGGAGGAAATGCTGTCAACCTATATTGTTTCTTGCCAGGCTTAGGTCTGAAGTCGCTTTGAATTTTAGCACTACTTGATATCCACAAGAAAGGACAAGGGTTTACTCCACCTCCCCTTCCACTCCTAGCCTAAGAATAATAGTTCCCTTTTATGTTTGCCGCCACACATCGTTTCATTATGTGCATCAGTTGCGCCGCTGCTACCCACTTAGCACCAATGTCCGATGAACGCCCGGTGGATGTCCGATGGGCGCTCGTTGGGTGACCGACCGAGCGCCCGATGGGCGCCCGAGTGGCAAAATATTGTCACACATCGGGCTCTCGCGAAGGAAAATAACTTGGTGCCTCCCTTCGCACGCTCACATTTCTAAGATTTCTAGTCTAACGGGTAATGCCTAGCCGGATTATCCTCCCTTCCCATACCGCTGCAAGCAGGTTACTGCGATCGCACACATTACATGCCATGAACACAATAAAGTTCCCGAAAACATAATGTAATGTTGATCCCATAATTTACAAAGCGGAACCTTGCAGGGATAACCGTTCTGTTTCCTTCCGTATCCAGGATTCACGCTCTTTTATTCTATATGTCCAGCGTCGCAGCTTGTCAACGATATCTGGCTGTGTACATCCTGCTATGTTTCTTCTCATAATGGAATCTGTTGAGGATATTAATGTTGTTTAAATGGTAACATACCAAGGACCGCTCGCGCGAATAGTGTGTTTACCATCTTATGCTTTACATGCACACCACGCCTGTTTACTTGTGTGACCAAGTTGTTAGTCATGCAAGTAAGCATGACGTTCCGCAAACTTTCTGAGATTGTCCGGCCACTTACTTTGGACAAATAGTGCACCTACGAATAAGTAA